CAGGAAAAAAGTCGTCGGCATTAAATAACCCATTGGTGTTGATATGTTGTAAAACAAAACAAACTAATCCTATATTTCATTGAATGCTGGAGAATGTCGAAACAGATGAAGAAGAGGCTAGATAACCGTTCTGACCAAGTAAATGGTTAAGAAATAACAAAACAAGAGGTAGCAGATAAATAGTTTATTGAACAGTAAATACAACAGAAGTGTGTTACACGAATTGGGGGTCTGTGTCAGTTGACTAGCGTTCAAACTACATCACCGTCCCCTCGGGCCTTACTTTTCCTACTACTTTATAGTAAGTGGAAGAGTCCACAATAGTCTCATTATCGCGTTTGCTTGGGGTGAAATGATTAAAAAAATAGAGTGTCGTTGGTAAAGATGACATTTTTTTTTTTCAGTTTTGTGTTCCTTCGATGAATAACATCGAAATATGAAGTCGGATTTTCTCACCTTCACCCTCTAAGGACAGGGAAATGCCGACTCTCCGTGTATCCAGCCCACCTATTTCTATTTGCTGACGAGAGAGTATTAAAAAGTGTTTTGTTTTTTTGTTTTTTTCACATCGCAACAGTGTTGCAAACCTGTAATTGATTCAACTTTAGTCTGGATGAAACAAACAAATAAGATTTTCAGTATGAGAACGAAACAGGCATATAAATACTTTTTATTTTTCTAGAGATTAATTGGTTGATCGCGTGAATGACTTTTTAGGGCTTATCAACTTTTTGTAGGTGATTTAAAGCCCAAACGTATTTTTTGATTGTAAGAATTTTTTTTTTTCATTTTTTGCGAGTGAATAACACTTTTTTTTAGATAATAATGATTTTTAGATACAATTCCTACTATTTATTTGTTGTGACCAAGTAATAACAAAACAAGAGGTTGCAAATATATAGCGTATTGAACAGTAAATAAAACAGAAGTGTGTTACACGACTTGGGAGTGTGTGTCAATTGACCAGCGTTCAATCTATATCACCGTTATATTTAACGCCCCCACCCCCAGGTTTGTCGTATGTAGCACAAGGAGGAGTTTATCGTGGGTTCACCGAGCCCGTAGGCTTGACCAAAAATATTGCCTTCGAACCCGTATAAACGGATTCAAGGCCTGTCTACCTCCCCGGACGAAACGTTGTCCTTCGGCAAAGCCTCATCCGTGTTCCACTCTACCGAGGCATAGTGTTTGACAGTAATGAACGGTCACCGTTATATTTATCGCCCTCCCACATGGGTTGTATGTGGCACAAAGCTGAGTTTATCGTGCATTCTCCGACCCCGTAGACTCGACCCAAAATATACCCTTTGAACCCGCCTAGACGGATTCAGGGCCTGTCTACCTCCCCGGACGAAACGTTGCCCTTCGGCAAAGCTTCGTCCGGGTTCCTCTCTGCCGAGGCGGACAGTTGGACATTAATGAACAGTCTGTATCACCAAGACTTACTATTCCTACTAATTTAGTCACAGGACATTTTGAAAGCAAACAAGATACACCGAGTCATTTATATGTTGGGAGCTATGGTGAAGACAAACGCTACTAAGAATTATAAATGATAGGAAGTTGTGGAGTGTCATGATTATCCCCGTCTCAAAGGGACATATTAGACAGAAGAAGGATAATACATAAAAAGAGTTCTACAGATGGCGATATTTGTATCTGATCCATGCATATTCAAATTAAAATTATCGATCGTAAAAATATTCCAGAATGAAAATAATAAAAACATTTCCTTGTTCTAACGGACCACATTAACGCACATGATAATGACTGGAGATTGTCAAATGTACTTGAACAAAAATATTATGACCTTTAGACAGTTCCTTCATAAATCTGATCCGGATGTGAGACAAATATGTAAAGTGGAAAATGTAATGAAAAAGTTAACACACAGAACTTGTTCGTCGATTTTAATAAAACTTGTTTGAACGTATACTTAATACCTAAGTTATATAATTGTTTATTCAGACAGCAATTCTTCTTTTATATAAGTTTCATTAAAAGCCACTGACAAGGTACTTCGGTTAAGTTTTATATTTCATTTTTTTTTGTTCTTATAATTTTCTTCTTTTCTGGGCGTAAATTATGGAGAAATTGTCATAATCTCCGAGCGATTTCAGCTATACTTTTAACCATTATCCAGGATGATTTTATTTTTACTTTTAACTGAATGTATGGATTGTTTCATGTATGTATCTTGAATTATAGAAATGTTCTTATTTTCCAAACACTGTCAATACATTTGGCCGTGTTCATTGTTGATATTATTGCGTATTGACTTTTTATTTTTATCAATGATGCATCCATTATTTTTTACCCTTTTTTTACATGTGAATGAGGCTATTATATTTGCATTATCAACGAGTATAATACACACCCACATACACACACGCACACACACACACATATATATTAAGACATTTTATGTCCATACATGATTTTTATAGATGCAAATATTTAAGTAAATGCCCTGTTTATAATAAACAGTATTAAACAACATTTACCGGCGCGTTCGGTTACCAAGGTCGAATTTACTGTATTTAAACTTCAATCTTCTATCAATCTCTCACGTTCATTCATATCTACTCATGGTGTATCAAATGTAAACAAATGACGTCACACATTATGAAATGGACAAAGTCCGATAATTATTTTAAGACATCACAGCAAAGCAATATATATATATATATATATATATATATATATATATTAAGAAATGGACAAGGTCCGACAATTTATTTATTAAAGACATTTTTATGTTTAACTTAACAACGTTAAACATAAAAATGTCTTTAATATATATATATATATATATATATATATATATATATTGCTTTGCTGTGATGCCCGCTGTGGCTGAATAAGGTTAAAAAGTGCATCTGGTTATATGGTAGTTCCAGCTAAATAATTTTTCTTTTTTTCTTGAAAAAAACAAGACAGGTAGACGGACTTATACAAGAGTCGACTTAAACATACATTTAACAAGCAGAACTACATATATTGTCGTTGCTTGGAAATCTTCCATCTAAACAGAAACAGACTATCATCACTGTTTTGTCCGTGTACTGCTTAATATATTGTAATGAAATGTCTTATGTAAACCGAAAGCTTAGATTGGATTAAAAAATATGGATCAATATTGTGATTTTCTTTCTTCGTTTAATGATAATGTTATTAAGCTTATCAGATGATATGAAAAGAATTTACATAAAATAAATAGACAACACTTGTCTATATTATTTAATGAAATATGCATGAATATATATATATATATATATATATATATATATATATATATATTGTTGATTGGTGTGAGTTTGTGATGCGAGGACTCGCATCACAAACTCACATCAATCAACCAAATATGTTAACTATATCTCTGATATTGAGCGCTTTCTAATAAGTACCGCGCATATAATATATAAATAATATATATATATATATATATATATATATATATATATATATATATATATATATATATATGTATGTTTATATTTATATTTTATTTATAGTTTAAATATAGTTTAACAGTTAGGTTTTGGTTTGTAATTTCTGTCTGCCGATCCTGGCTTCCTTTATATGAGAATGTGTCATTCTGTCTTTTTTTAGGGTACACATAAGATACGCTACAATACATTGGCATTTTTATTTATTTATTCTTTTTTTCTTTTTTTTTTTATAAAATACATTGGGATTGTCTTAAAGGAGCTTCAAATATAATTAAATCATATTTATTTTATATATTTATATTTTTATTTATAAAGATCTAAACTACTATATTTATTAGTATACTGGATACGGTAATGTTAAAATTAAAATTTAAAATTTTGGAATTTAATTACACATTTTTTACTTTCTTATTTTTGATCAAATAATAGATGTATAATTATTATTTTTTTTAATTAATTATGTTTTAAAGTAAACATTATGCAGTGTCTACAAAAACAGTTATTTCATTTTTTTGATTTAAAAATCTTTATGTTTTAGAAACTTAATAATATATAACTTTTCTAACTTTTTAGGCACAAACGACATAGGTCCTTTAAAGATCTACAAGTTCTGTTTTTTTGGGGTTTTTTTTTTAATAATTTTCATTTTATTGTGTGTGTTTTATTTGTTTCTTTTAAATGCAAAAATATTTGGATAGGGATGTTTGGTTACGATACACATTATTTTTGAAGGAAGACAGATGTTTCCTAATATACTATCTCATCTATTGAGAATCATAATATTAAAAAAAAAATTCATATTGGTCGCACTAAAAATAATTTAAAATTAAATTAGAGCTAACATCTGTCTTTAAATTTCAAAGAAAAAACTTACATTTGAATTTTCCAGCTATAAACTTAAATTTATTTCATCAATTAGTTTGCACTGCATCTTCAGACACAAGAAATAAATTGATTAAAAACATGCAGGAAAGAAAGAAAGAAAAGACAAGTTTGTGGTAGCAGAAGGCAAAAAGGGGTGTAGGATGAGATTTTAATGAAACTGTTCCAAACATCTATTCTGTCAAATACCAGAATAGATGATCTTTGTTTAATATATATGGCACAAGATCAAAGTATGTTACTTGAAAAAACATAAATCTGAACAATGTCTTATATATATATATATTTATATATATGCATGTATATATATGTATCTATATATGTATCTATAATATATATATATATGCATCTATAATATATATATATATGTATATATATATATATATATATATATATATATATATATGCATCTATAATATATATATATATGTGTTTTGTGTGTGTGTTTGTGTGTGTTTGTATGTATGTATCTATAATAAAAAAGAAGTAACTCAAGTTTCACCCTCAAATACGAAGCATCATCAGCCAGACCAAGTCTTTATCTTGTGAAGCTCGTGTTTTACGCCTTAAAGTGAACTCACGTTAATTTATTTATTTTTTTTTATTTTATTTTTATTAATTTATTTATTTATTTATTTTTTGGCCACGTTCCACGTTCCCCGGGTTCTACGGGTTCCACGTTCCCCGGGTTCTACGGGTTTCACGTTCCCCGGGTTCTACGGGTTCCACGTTCCCCGGGTTCTACAGGTTTCACACTCCCCGGGTTCTACGAGTTTCACGTTCCCCGGGTTCTACGGGTTCCACGTTCCCCGGGTTCTACGGGTTTCACACTCCCCGGGTTCTACGAGTTTCACGTTCCCCGGGTTCTACGGGTTCCACGTTCCCCGGGTTCTACGGGTTTCACACTCCCCGGGTTCTACGGGTTCCACGGGTTCCACGTTTCCCGAGTTCTTCGGGTTTCACGCTCCCCGGGTTCCACTTTTAGATGATTTTTGCATGTAATTTAAAAGTAAATTCTATAGATGTCACCGTAAGTTCTGTGCTAACAATTTGTTTCTTTGTTGTCAACCCCAATTCTTAATTTGTGAAGATTCGGGTCTCTTTCAATTGCGGCCAAGCGCTGATGTATGATTATCATCTACCATCAAAACATTTCAGACATGGAGACATTATTATTATTATTATCGTTATTATTATTATTATTATAATTATAGTTATCATTATTATTGTTGTTGTTGTTGCTGTTGTTATTATTATTATTATTATTATTGTTATTGTTATTATTATTGTTGTTTGTTATTTTTATTATTATATCTTCAATGTCAGAGAATCGGCAAGGTATAAAAAATACCAACGTCACGACAAATAAAAGATTAAAGAACAAATTAAATACAAAACTAGACCACTTAGAAGGGAAGGCGAAATTAAAGCGAAAAATTCAGAAAATTAAATGTAACTTATCTATACTCAATAAGATTTCAAGGAATTCAAAAGTTTCAATTTGAAAAACAAGAATATCAAGCAGAACTATAAAATTCAAGCAGTCAATCCGCTAATCAAGGAAATGCTTAAACAAAAACTACAATTAAAGACACAGAGAAGAAGACGATATGAAAATCGTTTTAGGTTCTATCGACAAAATAAAATATTCCAAAAGAACCTCAAGAAATTTTACAGGGGAACTGGAAAAGCAGTTATGGAAGTCAAAAACATATTATCTATTGAAGAAGTGCAAGCATTTTGAGAGAATATACACGCGGGGTGGACAATTCCCATTCGCTTGATACTCCATTGGTAAGGAGAATGTTCCATTTGGACATCTGCTTCCAAAGAGCCACTACTTTATGAAACACACTCCCTTAGAAGGTACCCTCCATGAACAAAATTATCTTTACCTCTTCATGTCTAGGAGCTATCGTTGCCAAATCTACGTAAGCTCATCTGCTATTACTTACTCCTACGTTTACACAACAACCTAATTTGCTCTCTAAATTGATTTGCTCTTGGACCTTGTAAATGTATAGTTAAAAATGAATAGAAAACGGGTAGAGCTGAAAACATTTATCTACAATGAATGTAATCGACACAGCGTTAATAAAATATAGAGGAAGTAATGTGAGAACATGTTGAATTGCCGATATCTGAATCGGAATTCTTTGAGTATTTTGTGGTGTTTGAGAGCCGGAAAAAAAGCCTAGAAATTGAATGCTGATTGTCTAGGCGTGTGTGCTAGCTCACATACACGTAGGGTATTTTGAAGTTTTTGAAAAAACGAAAATGAACAAGATATTGAAGCCTTATTTTCCAGTTATGCTGGCTGGGTTACATGTGAAGTGACAAATTTACAAGACTCCAGGTCGGCAAAAGGCTAGAGAAAATGAACCCTGATTTCCAAGGCACTGTAACAGATCCGAGTTGTGAATTTTTCGAGTTTTGCACATCAGCAAAAGAGTCTACATATTAAATGTTGATTTTCAAGAAACATGTATCCTCACTTCGACAATTGGCGCAACACAATCTTCTTTTATTAGTCTTCTTCAATGTCAGACTAATATTAGCTTATTTAATATTTATAAAGTATTTTTTGGCATTGCCGTTCCTAAAATGCAGAAGATTGCGAGACTATCTCGCCATAAGCTTATGCCCGCGTTTTTACCTGTGTTTGTATGTCGAACGAGGCAGAATTATATCTAAGGACTACAAATAAATAACTAGTGAAAGAAGCTTCGTTTTACCTGAAGTTGTTCGTGAGGTTAATGCTAAGTCTTGGCCTCAACCAAATATTGGCACTGGAGCAGAAATTATAATAATAAAAAAGAACGTGAATCATATTAATGGCGACAACCTTCAGACCGAGGTGGGACGCAAGAAATCACTCGTTTGCTTGGACTTTAGCCAAAAGGTCGATTTTTTATTAGTTCAGGACAAACGTGTGGATCAGATGGTATACTAAACTTTCCAGTAGTCAATGCTGAATTCATATTTCAGAGTCCTTTGGTAAGCTATGAATCCAAATATAGCTACATGTATTTCGATATATATATATATATATATATATATATATATATATATAGGTTTTAAGACATTTTTATGTTTATGCATTCTTTTTATAGATACAAATATTTAAGTAAATGCTCTGTTTATAATAAACAGTATTAAACAACATTTACCGGCCTGAATTTTGGATAAATTTTCATAGAAAAAAAATAGAAAAACAGGAATCGAACCTGTATCCTATACGGTAACGTCATATAGCCTGACGTGCCTTTAACGATTAGGCCACAGAGGAGCGTTCGGTTAGCAAGGTCGATTTTACTGTCTTTAAACTACAATCTTCCAGGACACTCTCACGTACATTCATATCTGCTCATGGCGTATCCAAATATAAACAAATGACGTCACACATTATGAAATGGACAAAGTCCGACATTTATTTGAAGATATTTTTATGTTCATACATTCTTTTTTATAGATAGAAATATTTAAGTAAATGCTCTGTTTATAATAAACAGTATTAAACAACATTTACCGGCCTGAATGTTCGAGAAATTTTCATAGAAAATATTCGTCCTCCATTTTCAATAATTTAATAATTGGTATTCTCGTTTTCTATATCAATAAGATCGGGTCTTAATTTTTTAACGACATGGTTTGTGTGGACTGAGAAATTCCATATCTTCTGACTATCATTTCCTTCCGCTGGCTCTGGCTGATAATGTTCATACCTGTTTTAAACTGAAATCAAACTCACGCCATACGTCACAATTCAGTCATCACCCATACTCCTTCTATGTCCACTAGAGACATTCACTTAGAATGTGGTTAGCTGTCACATCATCTTTTCTAAGTATTCTGCATTTGACTATATTCCTGAGATGGGGTATTATGTACACTATTTACATTATTCGGACTATTGTCCTCATCGTTGTCGCCTTCAATACCCAGTTAAGGCAGCGGAGAACTTGGAGAGAGGAATTAACAGGAGATAACTGATAATTGATATCCATTAAATATGGCACGTGGAACTAGAACATTCTACTCCAGTGAGCGAAATAAAGGGTTCAGTTCGACATTCCAACCACCTGAAGAAGGACGGACCGTACAACGGCCAAAACGTTGTGATAAACATGGCGACAAAGGTGAGGGCAATAGTCCGAATAATGTAAATAGTGTATTTTTTGGAGATTACATATTTTCATACTTGAATTTGTTTTAAATGTAACTTGAAGACAAATATTCTGTTGATATATTGTTTAATATTGTCAAACAATGTTTTTCTTTTCTTTTTCTTTTATTGAATCGTACTATTCTTTTGTTTGATAATAATAATAATAATAATAATTATTATTATTATTATTATTATTATTATTGATATGGCAGTCCCTGCTGACTGCAATGTATCTTTGAAGATATTCAAAAAGTTGTCAAAGTACAAGGACCTTGAAATAGAAATCTCGAAAATGTGGCATATGGGAACATCAACAATCCCTGTTGTAGTTGGAGCCCTAGGACTGGTTGGAAAAGATTGCAGTAGACTAATTGCAGGGATTCCTGGAAGTCCATGCCTCAAGGAGATACAAAAAATTGTTCTGACAAGTATAGCCCACACCTTACGAAGGGCTTTATCTATGTAATTTAATTCTTTTTTTTTCTTTTTTTTTTTTTGTCAGTGGAAAGTGTCATGACGCCATTTCTAACCTTAGGTCCCTGTACGGGACCCGGAAAGAAATGTGTAAGCGCCAGAAATCAAAGAAAATAAAAATGATAATAATAATAATAATGGCCTGATATCGTGATTAGAGACCGCAAAGACAAAGTGTGTCTCCTCATTGACATGGCAATTCCTGCAGACTGCCATGTATCTTTGAAGATCTTCAAAAAAGCTATCAAAATACAAAGGCATTGAAATAAAACTCTCAAAAATGTGGCACGTGAGGACATTAACAATTCCAGTTGTAGTTGGGGACCTTGAGTTGCTTGGAAAAGATTCCAATAATCTCATTGAAGGAATCCCTGATAGCCCTGCCTGAAAGAAATACAAAAAAATGTGATCACAAGTACAGCTTACAAAAGATTTTACCTTTATTAAATATATACGATTTTTTTTTTCAAACCTGCTCAGCGAAAAATTTCATGATACCATTTCTGACCTTAGGTCTCTGGTCGGGACCCGGAAAGAAATGACCATATGCCATAAACCAAAGTAAATTAAACAATAATAATAGAAATATCAGTTCAGTTATGTGCCATGTGTGATACACGTTTGGGTGATCATGTATCTTTCGATACATGACTGAAAAGGCAGTAGGTTGCCATTTCCTTCTGAGGTAGACCAGTTGCCATCCAAGGCTTTAGAACCTGATTTGTCCTGCTATTTACTCACAGCTGGGAGCGGGGGGAGAAGAAGTATAGGATTCATAGATTTCCCAAGTGAATGTAATGGATTCGACTGGAATTCGAACTCGGCTCTCCGATTGCTTAATCCGAGCCGCTATCTATTACTCCACTATGCCTCTTAAATGGAAATATAGATTGTCTTTAAATGTATACATGAAATATATTTTTTGAAATTTAAATTACATCCAGTACACGGCCCAAGAGTACCTGAAAGTAGTAGTTTACTGAAACGTATTGCTTTATTAGCGTAAGAATTGCAGATTATGATGCTATGTAGGATATATAACAATTGACTTTAAACTTGAAAATGTTAAGATTTTTGTGGCGGGAAAAGCATTTTCTCGGAGGTCTGTCCCACAAAGCGGTTATTTTGGAAAGAGGCTTTAGATCAAATGTCGATATAAAGGAAATTACTTTTTAGTTAGTCTACCATTTAAAATGTTTTCTTATTTTCCTGATTTATGGAGAATTTTGATGAGAAAATTTCAAGCTGTGACGCAATCTAAAGCTTACGCTTTCAGACGATTTAATGCTGGGCTTATCCGGTAGAATATCATGTCTATCATTTAGCAGACGATATTGAAGAGCAAACGAGGAGTATAATGTCAGATTTCAAAGAAAACATTGTCACATGTAGCTTTATTTTTCGCGTCTCCTCAGACGAATATCCCAAGATTAAAAGCTGCGTATTTTCCGCGAAACAATTCTGGGACATCTGAACTCCTTGCTGATTGATTGGCTTTTTTTTCTTCTGACAGACGATGACAGAGACAAATTAGAAAGGATGTAGTATGACAGGGTTTGCTCTTCATCAGACACTGATTTCTGCCTCGTTTTCAAACGGGAAAATGGAGTCTGTTACTTAAACCCTAATTAACCACGGATTAGGAATGTAACATGTACAAAATATTTTTCTTTTACTGCTTGTTTTGTTCTGCATAATTATCTGTCGAAGGTTTGCTGCTTCTATTGATGATTTGAAAGGATTGGATTTATGGCAAGATAATATATGATTATTAAATGGACATTACACACACACAGATACACACACACAGAGATAGATAGATAGATAGATAGATAGATAGATAGATAGATAGATAGATAGATAGATAGATATGAACAGACTGTAATAGATAGATAGATAGATAGATAGATAGATAGTTTGATAGATAGATAGATATTAAAATTTGTGTATTTAGGCAGCAAATTCTCTTTTAGGCATGTCTGATTAAATAAATTACAGGCATTATGTCTGTTTATTTTTAATACAATACGTTCATACTAACAAATAACCTTCCGTGTATTGCAATTAAATGATGTGAGAAATGTGCTATAACTAGGAAAATCGTTTTTATTTTCCATTTCCCAAGTACTTTCGATCTTCTTCCAAGATCATCTTCAGGGGTGTACAAAACGATTTTCATAGTTATTTCACAGTGTATAAAAACACTTTGTTGGTTGCTGTAGAATTGATTAATGCCTATTTTATGAATTATTAAAGACTATGAATCTGTTTTTTGTATTTTACAAATACTTTGATTTATTTCTATTAAATCAATTTTTTCTCTGTTTTGTATGCATATTTAGTTATTATGCATCTGTGTACATTTAATTATACGAAAAGTATGTAGGGCAAGTTATAATGTAGGGCAAGTTAAGATCTGAAATATTCTGGTAAAAAAACTATGGTAGCATAAAGGTCAGTGTTTAAAATTTTATATGTCTGATTAAATAAATTATAGACATAATGTCTGCTTATTTTTAATAAAATCCGTTCAAACTCACGAATAACCTTCCGCGTATTGCAATTAAATGATGTGGGAAATGTGCTATAACTATGGAAATCGTTTTTATTTTCCATTTCACAAGTACTTTCCCAAGATCATCTTCAGGGGCTGTACGTAGTAATACAAAACGTTGTGTTGTTCGGGGGTGCAAGCAGTAATATAAAATTATGTATCGCTATCCGTTACTGTAATTTTTTTCTTTTTCTTTTAAATGCAACGGTTGACAGTCATATATATATATATATATATATATATATATATATATATATATATATATATATATATATATATATATATATATATATATATACAGTTCAGATATATATATATACAGCATTATAGTGTGTATATATATATATATATATATATATATATATTTATATACATTCATATATATATATATATATATATATATATATATATATACTACAGTTCAGAGGTTTGTGACCATACATGGTATTTTATTAAATTGACCCCAAAAGTAGTTATTTTTTCCTTTAAATAAGGGAAAAATTATTATACTTGGTTGAAAAAAAGTGAGACATTATTTTTCATTAGAATTTTGTTTTATGACAAATGATTTTATGATTAAATTTTGCTCTCGTCAAAATATCCTCTTTTAGCCTTTATTACTGCAGCACACATTTTTGACATTCGTTGCCAAAGTTTCTCAAAGCATAAGTTTGATAATTGATTCCATTCTTTTTTCAGTGACTGTAAAATCTCTTCTCCTTTTTTTTTCACTCTTCTGTCGAGTTCATGCCATGTTAAATCTGATGTTCCTTAAAACGTTTGAACTGAAGTATATATATATATATATATATATATATATATATATATATATATATATATATATATCGGTTGAGCTCTCTGGAGAGGAAGTGTGGGCTTCTAAACAATGACTATTACGGCTAATAATGCAAGACGCTTCGGTGAATCGAATCTAGTTCTCTCAGTCACTGTGTGTTTATCTAAAAATAAATACGCTTAAATTCACCTTCATCCCTACAGTTCGCCAACGGCTTCGTGGTAGAATCCCCAGTCTGATGCCAATTCAGTTGGGTTTCGATCCCAGCTAGAGGCAACCGCACGTCTAGTCAGAATGACGAGCTGTGATACCGCAAAACAGTCTGTCTGTGGATGGCGCTATATATATATATATATATATATATATATATAAAGGTGTATTTCGACATTAATAATTCTGCCTGAGTTTTTACCAGAGCTGATAATGCAATTTTCGTGGTTATTATCGCTTTTGGATCAAGCATAGAACTGAATACAATATGGAAACCAGTAATAAGGAGTGCCGGAGAAATATAATGTTGCCAATACCTTTATCCACTCTGCCATGTGTCTTTAACGACACATGGAACTAAAACAGTCCAAATATTATGGACAGGTGATTTCTAACAATTTTTTTATTTAATTTTCCATACTTCGAAATTAGTTATTTCAAGTTATCGGTAAATTTGCGAAATTTCATTTTTATTTTATATTATACGGAATGGGAAATCGAAGACGTAAGTTCGAATTCCAGTCTGGTTGGTTACGTGACTTACACAGGGGTAAACTTGGGAAGGGTATGAATCCATCTCTTCTCCCCCCCCCCCCTGCTATATATTAAATAGCAGGGCAGGCTGAGTCCTATAGCCTTGGTTGCGACTAGTCTACCTTCGGAGGAAAGAGCAACATACTGCGGGAAAATCTTGTGAGTCCTGAATCGAATGAGATATATTCGCTCAGGCGTGTATCGAGCCTGGAACTTAACTGACTGATATAAAGCAAAGCTTCTGTTTTTAATATCATTACCCACTGAATTTACATCTACTCCCCAACTCTCACATTTAACTTTTGTCGCTAATGTAGGCAAACAGCAGGATGTAGGCGATCATGTCTTTCGGAAGATTCCTTTTTCTTTAATATCTACGAACTGACATAACCTGATGTATTTCTGTCATGTCTGGGTCGGAACTGTCCAATTTTCATTTTCCCAAACCGTTAACTCGGTCTTGTAGGGGATGACCTCTTCTCCACTGTATGCTCTCTTCCCACAGGCGCAACACCCAAAACTATTCTATCGCTATTGCCATGGCAATCGCTCAGATAAGCTACATTCCACCAATTCAGTCTTTTACAGCTAAAAGTCGCCATCCTGCTTCCAAGTAGTCGATTCACCCTCATGTCATTGGCATTCCATTTCCAAGGAGAAAGTGACACGCAAACTGCGTTTGTCCAAAGAAGTGCTACCCTGTGCAAGAAACTCCAGCGTAAATAGAACCCTGGAAACTATAATGTTAACCTCTACAAATCATTATCTTTCCTCCTAATACTGGTAATCAACAGTTCAGTATATATTCTCTTAATCTCATATCAAACGCTTCTATTTACATTATTCGGACTATTGTCCTCATCTTTGTCGCTATATTTATTACAACGTTTCGGACATTGTACACTCCGGCCTTCTTCAGGTGGTTGGAATGTCGAACTGAACCTTTTATTTTGCTCACTGGGGTAGACTGTTCTAGTTCCACGTGCCATGTTTAATGGATGTCAGTTATCAGTTACCTCCTGTTAATTCCCCTCTCAAAGTTCTCCACTGCCTTAACCGGGTATTGAACTCACACTCTTTGGGTCCTGTCACTGGATCTAACTAACGCCTTTATCCACCGTGCCATGTGTCCATGAGGACAGTGGATAAAGGCGTTAGTAAGATTCAGTGACAGGACCCAAAGAGTGTGAGTTCAATACCCGGTTAAGGCAGTGAAGAACTTGGAGAGGGAAATTAACAGGAGATAACTGATAACTTCCGAAATCCTTGTGTTTATTTCTCTAGTAAAGTGATCAAAGTAAGGAACAGATGAAAACAAAGCCCGAACATTTTCGAATTTCGCTAAGATTACAGTGTTGTATCGCGACACACCTTACTACGCTAAATTATGGATCAGTTGGAAATCCTCCACCATCTAAATAAGTCATGATATTAAAAAAAAAATATAAGAAAGTTGGAGAATAAGCAGTTGAAATAAAAGCAATAAAGTAAGCGTTAATTGAATAAGTATATTTACCCTGGTCTCAGCACTGAGACGAGATTTGACACAATGTCAGGTTTAACGTGGAGTAGCCGAGCGCGTACCCCCTGGTTAAGGACAAAAATTATCTTGCAGTATTTATTTTTCTCAGTTGTGTCTCTGTCCACAGACAGAGCAACAACTGAGTCGCACTCTGCCCGCAGACAGAGATGCAACTGAGGGCTAATAAAACCTACCCACCATATGTCAAGCTCAGTAATTGAATACGACAGATTAGCGAATCGAAACTGTATTTGTTTTCTTGCAAAATTTTTTTTTCTAATTTCGTGTTTGACCGTCATCGATTATACATTTCAGCTTTCGGTCACATCACCAGTTTCCGTACGATCACCGAAGTTAAGCAACATCGAGCTTCGTCAGTATCTAGATGGGTTTCCTTTTTGGGAATACCATGTGCTCATTTGGTAACGGCAGGAATTCACACCCTACTTTGAGCTAATTCATATCACTAAAACAAACTTTGTTCTGGTTTTAAATAAGCTGCAAAGTGTTGATAAACCATAAAAAACGATTGAATCATTCAGCACTTAGAAGATCGTGGCTGTCCACAATTGCCATAACTTTTTGGCAAATAATACATCCAGAACGAAACTACTGTTATTTACTCACTATAAAGTAACCTCCCTACCTTTTTGGTTGATGCTCGACGAGAGTACCTCACTGTGCCTTCTTGATATCCCGTTCTCCATTGAACTGAGGTGGAACAACTATATTGTGCTAATTGCTGCATCTACCACAAGAAAAATTGGTTCTATATGTCACGCCTTCACATCTGTAAATCTACGATTCGTCTATGCGTGGAACACTGGTGTCCCCGCTATGGGTCTCGACAAAATCCAAAGACGGATATGCAATGTGATAGGTCCTTACCTGGCATCTCGATTCCAGTCACTGTCTCATAGACGTAATGTGGCTTCCCTCTGTCTTTTCTATAAATAGCATCTACTCTGACGAACTATTTTTACTGATACCCCGACTGCATGAATCTATACGTGCTACTTGGTTGGCATCTCGGTCCCACTGTTTTACTGTCGAAACAGTTAAATGTAACCGCCTCTTCGACGCCAGCAGCTTCTTCTGCTCTCGCACTTCCCGACAGTGGAACTCCTTTCCTCTTAGTTGCTTCCCTGATATCTATAAACTTTAAAAAAATCAAATGTAATGTCAATCGACATCTGAGGCTTTGATTCCCGTTTTATCCTTTTATCCTTCTCTGTTCTTTTTTTATCCTTTCCCCAATCCTCTATATATAACCAGTCTTTTCCCTTACTTTCACTCTCTGTAACCCCTTACGTACAAGTAACACTCCCGGCATATTTGGGGTGAAATCGTTAAAAATTAGAGTGGACTGATTTCCCCTTTGCCTGATCCAAAATTTGTATTTTATAGTTTTCCTTAGACTGGTTGCCACTCAAAGCTAGAGACCCTAGTCTGGCATACTATTTAACCCATAGTCTACCGGGAGAGGAGACGGATTGATGCCTTCTGCAAAGGTGTCTGTGCAAAAGAGAACACAACGAGCTAAGCTCGAATTCGAACCCCGATCGCTGGTTCTCATTTCAACAGCGATACTTGTTTCACTATCAGCACATTCTGCCTAACACGTTAAAGTTCACGTCCCCCATTTCTGTGAGACTCGCATATCAACTCCTGATAATGATCTCTCACTCCTCTCACTTGGCCGGGCGGAAGGAAATCGATCATATCGATTTGATCAGTATTTGTCCACTGAGGGCTCCGAGAAACATTCGTTGCGTCATGAAGTAAAAGGATGATTTTTTTTTTTTTTTTTTATTTATTTATTTTTTTTTTTGTTCTCTTGTTGGAGACTCTGAAAAAAAATGATTCATTGTGATTGTTTCCCTCCGGGCCTTTGCACACATGTTAAAAAGCTACCAATTTCACCTGAAGGTTAACACAAATTGATAAAACGAAACACTAAATTAAAGCGGAATCTTAACGATCATAACTCGTTCCAAAATTCAATTTCAGATTGTAGTTGCCTAAATGATTTCATGAATCGATAAAAATAATTCCTGCTCCTATGCTTCTTTGCGGGTTAACTGCACGTGTGATAATTTTATGCACTAACACAAACAAATAACCTCCCTGTTTTATGTATGATCGACTTTCTAACCTAACTATATATTTTACAAGACGGGAGAGTATATCATACATAAAATAGGGAGTTACTTTTCAATCACCCTATCGATGTGTTATTGCTATAAACGTTATTTTTAGCCGTTACACGTGTTTGAGTTGACATCCCTGCTTTTTTAGCGGGGATGAGAAGGGGTCCTTCGAGGGGGGAAATTACTAA